ATATATATATATATACATATGTGTATATATATATATATATATATATATATATACATATATATATATATATATATATATATATATATATATATATATATATATATACACGCACTCGCACACACACACACACACATATATATATATATATATCTATATATATACAGACATACATACATACATACATATATATATATATATATATATATATATATATATATATATATATATATAAATATGTATCTGTAGACATACAATATATAATAGATATACTCATCCATAGATATATATACGCACACACACACACACACACAAACACACACACACACACACATATATATATATACATATACATAAACATATACATATATATATACATATATATATACATACATACATACATACATACATACATATATATATATATATATATACATATATATATATATACTTATATATATAAATATATAGGTGAGTATACATATATAGATAATATGTATACATAGAAAAAGGAAAATACAAAGAAAGGTAGATATTGTACGAGGACTTACTCTTTGATTGCGGTCCGCTCCTGTTGCTGTGTCGTCTTGACGACATCGCTCACATCACCGAACGTTCGCTCGATTTTTTTGACACAGCGCCCGCCTTTCAGAGGCAGGACATTCTCTTTACTCGATTCCCATGCATCAGTGTCCATGATGTCTAGTAGACTATTTTAATATATTTGTCGCGTATGCTTGTGACAGTCTTTACTCTACACAGAGCGCCAATTTATACATGAAGTATACATTTAAAATTGACTTCAGTGCAACGACCTGTTCACTACCTATTCAAAGTGGGACGCACCAGACTACAGATGGTTCTTGATCCGCTATTCAGGCTATAACAAATCTCCAGATTAGAAACCTCAGTATAGTGTAAGTGACTTGTTTCTTTCAGAGGCCTCAGAAGTCACAGAGCTACAGACTCGCGCTATATACGCCCTTAAAAATACACTCTAAAATACTCTGAACGTAAAATAAATACGCTAAAAAATAATAATTGCTCCAGTGTACCAACTACCCTCAAAATGGACAGTTGAGGAATCGGCGCCAAATGAGAGTATGATAAAACTTCGGTACATATTATATATTCCTGAGACTATAAATAGAACACCACTGATTATGGCAGACATTTTATAAAAAAGAGAGAGATTATTGCCGTGCCTGTCCAGCAGGGGCCCAGGGGTCATCCAGTCTCCAGACCTCCAGTGTCCGACAACCTATTCACACATAAATATTTAAAGTTGTAAATATTATAAAATATTGACACACACATAGAATAGAGGAGGTGCAACCTGTTTAGCGACAAGGATTTCAAATTGGTCACGTTGCCGTAAATATCGGATGAGCATAAGTTTTAGAGAAAAAACGAGATAGGTAGGAATATTCTATCTAACCGCCCTTATATGTTTTAGGTCTTGTTGACAGTTTACTATTATATTGTACGTGTTTGCCATGATTATTTGTGATTGTGTGCGTCCCTGTATTGTGTACGTCTATGTAAGTGTACGATCCGGAAGTTGGGTATAATTATGAGGCGTGCTTATCCCTGACTCTCTGTGTTTCGATAAGCATCAATTTCACTTAATCTTACGTATCATAATATACATTCATTACACACACACACACACGCACACACACAACACACACACACACA